AATGTTTTATGAGTTTAGGGTATTATTGTATTTTCGTACCATAAAATGACTTTTTGTTTAGATTTGTTTGTGTATGACGTATTTGTAAATAAGCTTTCCTGTAGATAAGTCAAAAAGAAACACTCTTTTTTTTTTTTATGAAATGAATGATTCAAAGTGAATGCTTCGAAAATGTGGACATCTTCCATTGTATAAGAGCATCCGCGTTGGAGACATTTTGTATGTGTCTTTAAATATAAAATTATTAAAAGTTGAGTAAAAGAAAAAAAAAGAGTGTTTTTGGTTGAAATAATGGGGTGTATTGAAATATAAAATTAATAAAATTTGAGTAAAGAGATGAGATAGTGGGTATTATTGGAGAGAGAATATCTCTGGGAAGACAAAGTTGGAGAGAAAATTGATGAAAGTTGGAGTGTGTTTAAATATAAAATTAATAAAAATTGAGTAAAAAGATGAAAGAAAAAGTATAAAATTGAGTAAAAGGAAGAGAAAATGTGTTTTTAATGTTTTTTTATTCAGAAACATCCGCATTTGATCTCGCAATGTGGATGGTCTAATAGATTCGAAAAATTAATAAAATTTGTGTATTTGAGTCAAGACCTTGTTCGACCGGTCATCCGTGTTCAGCTTGAAGAATCTGGAGCTTTGCGTGAGCAGATTCGTGCTGTTGTTATGGAGATTGAGTCCGCTACTAGGCTCATTCAAGCTAACCTCCTGGTAATGATGATTTCTTCGACAGTGGAACCAATGAGTCTGTAGTTGTAGTTGGAACGAAATAGGTTAAAATTGCAACAATTTTTAATTCTTAGAGCAATTGTAGAAATGGCTTCCTGGGTTAGATTCGGAAATGGGTGTTGAACAGAGAATAGAAATGAAGAAATTACTTATAGAGATTGTTTGTTTCTGTGGATGGATCAGAGGTTATCGATAAAGCTAAGGAAAAAATCAATGATGTGAACAAGTTTTACGGTCGGCTTGCCGAAATTCTTCGGGAATGCCCTGGACAAATACTACAGGTAATTTTGATATCCATATGCAGTGATCTTAGTTGAAATGCATTTTCTGCAAGGATTTAGTGATAAAGGTTGGATTTGTAACTTAGGTACCATGGGGACTGGAGAAGTAAAACACAGGCAGTGGTCTCTCTCAACTTGCTTTTATGCACTGGCTAGAAACTGGAACTCTTCTCGTGCATACAGAAGCTGAAGAAAAACTTGGGTGTATGTCTCTGCATCTCAAATTTACTCTTTTTTTTTTTCTTGCTTACAATCAAATATCACGGCTTGGTGTAGGTTGTTTGTATTAAGAACAGAACCTGATGCCTCTCATAAACGTTCACCATGAATTTAGATCATCATTAGTCAACCTTGGTCTTGTTTGCTGTTTTTGATTTTGTGCTTAGGCTTTGTGTCAGTCTGCATTATATATCCATTCTAGTGTCAACCTTTTTGCCAAGCTTGATATTTCACCTCAATTGAGTTACTTATTTCTGTTTTCCCCAAACACTGTTATATTTTCTTAGGATGTTGATGACTCTTCTCTTTTGATTTAAATAAGCATAAAAAGTTCTTGGTTAGATCATTTGTCATTGTAATTCCACTTCATTACATTTCAGTGAACAGTTTGGAGTTTGGATTGGAGACAGAAGATTATCTGACTGGTATGTTTCTAAAAAATAATCCTTAGTCACTCTGGGAGGCCAATCTTTATATCAAAAGCTTCTCAGCATTTTATGAATCTCGAACATTAGCTTCTCTTATAACGTATCCATCAGCTTCTCTGTTTCCTTCTTCAACATTGTCTCGATTTATAATCTCTGAAATGTATTCATTTACAAGAAATTAAAAACCATTGAAGTTGAATAATTTACCTTAGTCATGTTTGGCATAATTGTGGATATGAATATGAAAGATAGTTTTGGAGCTGAATTCAAATAATTTGCTGGTGAAGTTCATAAAATAAAATAATTTTAAAAATATAATATTTTTTTGGGTTAATTTGCCAAGTAACCAAAAAAAATAATAATTAGGCAACTAACAAAAATTGACTAATCTATATATATAATAGCAAAGTTTTAGAAAACAAATATATATGATTTGGTGTGTATTAAATGAATATTTTAAACTTAAATGTTTTAGAAAATAGTTTTGCCTATGTGGACACTCTAGATAGAGAGAAAACTCCCTAATTATATAATAGATTAGTATGGTTTGTATGTGTACATACATTTTTATTGGTGAAGCATTTATGTTTTGTTTTAATTGTGCAAACATGTTTATTTTTTTTTTCTTTTGTAGTTTACTACTCATCAGTATGGAGAAGAATGATCGGAAAAATGCACTTTCACCAAATGCAAGCAGTACAAAACAACGGAAATCTTCGCAAAGCTCGATTCGTCGTCATCAGAAACAAGATTTGACGTGGAAATATGTTAGTGAAAGTACCGATTCAAGAGGGAAAAAAGTCATAGCTTGTGATTTCTGCGGTAAACAATATGTC